CCCGTTTGACCAATGTATCCTTTTAAGCCTTGATGCTGGCCTCCTCCGAGTTGACGATAAGCCTATCCTAATCCGAGATGGGCCATTTCGAGTGTGTGATGGGCTCTTACCAGACCAGAAATTGGTCCTTCGTTCAATTCCCGTGCTTGAAACTGACATACGCGCTTTCTGGTCCTAAAATGGGCCCTCTCCAGCCTAAGGGGCCCTTTCCGGACTAGATGCGATAACTTTTTACCCTTATCTTTCGCTTTTTTCCGGACCGTAGATGGGGCTTCTGCCCTTACTTTGGTAGTACAGTAGGCGTATTACTCCGCATGTTCGAGAACCCCCTCTGAGCTACCTGAAATGATAGGGGAGGGGAACGACAAATATTTTTGCCCGACCTCAAAAGAGGGGGAGCAGTTTTTTCCCTGCTGCCCCCCTCCCTCTTCCCCTACCCATACACTTCTTCGTATACGCCATCACTGTTCGCATCTTTAGCTCAATCAGGGGCCAAACGGGTGATACTTTTTGGGGCGTTATGTTTAATATACATAGACTAACCAGGGTGCGGGCGGGGGGGGGGGGCACTCAGCGTATCAAGAGCGTAAACATTGGGGGGAGGGTTGTAAAAGCGCCACAAACGCGTAACGTTATTTATGGATGTCCCTTGGTCGCCGCACATGCCTTCCGTTGCCACGCGCCAGCGATCGCACCGGCCAATACCGGATATGTCCGGCTGGGACATGCAACACACGGTCGTCCGTCGCAGTCGTCACCTTCCGCTGGGCTGGTCAGACGTCGGTCAGCGCCGGCCGTCCAGACCGATGTTTATTGACGGGGACCGGACGGCCCGCGCCACCCCGCCAGTGCCATTAGCGACGTTCTGTGTGCTCCCAGCGGTCCGCACGTGTGTTCTGAATAACCTCGGGGCTGTGTTGGCCTGTCTGCACGCGGGTGATTAGTGATAACCTGGTTTCGGGATGTCTGGGTCCAACGTTCAGCGGGGTCGCCGGTCGTCTGCCATCTGCTCTCATGTGGAGAAACTGATTCGACGCCGTAGAAGACGGGTGAGGCTGTGTGGGGGTAGTTGGGCATTGCCAGTCATTTGGGGATACTCGCTAACCTTCAAGTATCAAAGCAATGATCGTAGACATGAGCGGATAACTCGCGCGTCGTCTTTCCCGCGCGTTGTCTTTCGCGCCCTGCGGCGAAAGAAAGCAAGTGCGCGTTCCCTGTCATATTCCTGCCAAACAGAGGCTTAAATGCATTTGCGAAGTCCGTATTACATTCTCCACAGTGTCATATCACCCGGTGGCCAACCTGCTCCATATCAAAACTTGAATGTTGCTGTTTGGATAACAAAGGTAGTGCGGCTGCTGTTTGGATAACAAAGGTAGTGCGGCACAAGGTCACTGCTCGGATAAAGATGTTTGTATCTGCTGTGATCTTACCAAGCTGAACACGTTGTCGAGAAAACACCCCACTCGGTCTACACAGCCCACGGTGCCGTGTCCGGTAGCAGCAAAGACGCAATTTGACGCCTCTAAATTTGACGTCAAGAATAAGTATTTCCAGATATGGATCACCTGAGGATCGGAATCTCACAACATTCATCATGCCTTAGAAAGGGCACCAGTACGAACGGGCTCCCCAAGGACCGATAACAAGTGGCGACGAGTGTGGCTGGCGGGGAGACCAGGGCTCTTGACGGTGTACCACGGACTCGCAGAGTTGTGGATGACATCCTTGCCAATGATCACGACTATATAATTAATATAAATCATGTGTGGACCATCCTGGAGAGGTGTGACGAAAACAGCAGTACACTGGATCCTGCCACGGTGGAGTTCGCCAAGACGGAGGCTGACTTCTGTGGCTACAAGCTGAAGCTCGAAGCTTCGTGTCTGTCAGCCAGAAGCTGAGCCCAGCAGGCCTCGTACCCGTCAGCCAGAAGCCCAGCCTAACAGGCTTCGTACCCGTCACACAGAAGCTGAGCCTAGCAGACTTCGTGCTCGTCAGCCAGAAGCTGAGACTAGCAGGCTTCGTGCCCGTCAGCCAGAAGCTGAGCATAGCAAGCTTCGTACCCGTCAGCCAGAAGCTGAGCCTAGCAGGCTTCGTACCCGTCAGCCAGAAGCTGAGCCTAGCACGCTTCGTGCCCGTCAGCCAGAAGCTGAGCCTAGCAGGCTTCGTACCCGTCAGCCAGAAGCTGTTTCTAGAATGCTTCGTGCCCGTCAGCCGGAAACTGAGCCTAGCAGGCTTTACACCCGTCAGCCAGGAGCTAGATCTGTAAGGCTTCATACCCGTCAGAAGCTGAATCTCGAAGCTTCCTACCGATCAGCCAGAAGCTGAGCCTAGAAGGTTTCATGTCCGTCAGCCAGGAGTTGAGCCCAGAAGACTTCGCACGGATCAGCCAGAAGCTGAGCTTTACACCCGTCAGCCAGAAGGTGTCAGCCATCGCATCGTTTCCGACACCAACCAACATCACAGATCTGCAGACCTTTCTGGGACTGGTTGGACAGCTGAGTGAATTCTCACCACGGATATCCGACTCAGCAGAGCCACCGCACTCTTATTAAGCCAAAGAATGGGTGGCTGTGGACGCCCCAGCATGAAGAGGCCTTTGCCCAGGTCAAGAGGGCATTAGTTTCTCCACCGGTTCTGGCGTGCTTTTCCCCGGAGTAACCAGCAGTGCTGCAGACAGACGCCTCACGGCGACAGGGTCTGTGGTACGCCCTCGTGCATCAACATGGAGCAGAATGGAAGCTGGTTCAGTGCGGGTCACGCTTCCTGACCGACACCGGGGGCAGACACGCCGTCATCGAGCTCGAGACGCTGGCGACAGCGTGACGACTAAAAAGTACCAATCACCGACCACTGATCCCATCCCTCAATTCCCGATCGCTAAGGGACATCAATAATCCCCGCCTTCTGCGCCTCCATGAGAAAATAACCATGTACTAGTTCACAGATAAATAGTGTTTGGTACTAATCTTGTCATGTCAGACGACCTATCCGAGCTCCAGTCGACGACCCGACTCTCGAGGATGAATCGTGGATGATGACCCCATTGTGTGTGGGCCTCGGCTCGTCATCCCTCGCAGTCTGAGGGCGGAAGTCCTGCGTAGCTTGCATGACAGTCTGGGAGCAAGAAAAATCGTGTACTGACCAAACATCGACAACGTCGTGACCAGCATAGTCAGTGTCCAGTCATAGTCAGTATGCAGGGCGGTGCTGCCCAGCCACCAGACCGAACCACTAATGACGCACTCGCTACCAAGCAGGATTTTGAGTCCGACTCAGCCGACTACTTTCAACATGTCGGTAAGACCTGCTTCCTCTACGTTAATTGTTTATCCAACTGGCCCATCGTCGCTCAGTGTTGGAGACAGATAACATCTCACCAGCTGATCGGCGTGCTTCGTGACACGTCGCTGGTACCGGTGTGCCGATTGTGTTCCGAGCCGACGGTTGTCCTCAGCTCAGAACAAAAGAACAGGAGATTTTCTGTCCAGATGCGGGGTTATTCCTTGCATTATCTAGCCCCGCATTAGCCACAGACCAATGGACACGCCGAATCTGCAGTGAAGTCGGTCAAGCGATTCATCGTGAGGGCGGCGCAGCACGGAGACCTCGACAATGACACCTCCACCTGGAGGAGACCTGGCGCGCAGGGGTGTTCTCCAGCTCAGATGCTGTTTGGCTATCGTCTGCGGTCGTCAGCTCCAGCTCACCGCCGAACCTCTGCCGCTGAGTGGCAGAGCCGCCGAACAGTGCGAGCAGACCCGTGCACAGGGAGCCAAATAAGCTTGTGAACGGCACGACAGCACTGTGAAACCCCTGAACAGCTTCGGGTCGAAGTGGCCGTTGATGTGCAAAATCCACGCACTGTGGTGGAGCCGGACTGCTGGGACCGGACACCGGTCCGGGCCGTTGGGACAGGACACTGGTGTCCGGTCCAGTGAGATCAGGCCAGTATGATCATCGCGGTCGTTGAGCACCGTGACGATCTCTTTGAGATACCTGGCGGGCGCATTCCCTGGCGCAACCGCCGATTTTTGCGTACTTTTCGTCCTCTGCTACCGTGCCCGTGTACCCCTCAGAGCGAGAAAAGCGGTAGTGCGAGCCTGTCTACGGAGTGCAAAAGTCCGTGCCGCGGACGTGACGGTTAAGGACGTGACGCGGACGTGACGAACTCTGCTACGTGACGGACAAGTTTCACGGCATGTAGCGTTCGGTCTCAACGGTCCAGTGGCTTCCCGTGCTAAAGTTTACAACAAAACATGTGAGCCGGCGCCTTTGCGCCGCGGTGAAGCAGTACGATGCGTTCCAAATAGCCTCGTCGTATATCCACGTTTGCAGCTGTATGTTTGATTTGGTGACCAATATCGACGTTTTGTCTCCACGCCTGCAAGGTAGTTTAGTCGCCTTGTTGAGATCAACCGCATATCGCATTTAGTTGCGTCTGCCATCTAATTGTTTTGTATGGCTTTCTGAGTACGCATGCCTACAAGAGTACGCATGGGAATTTTAAAGCTTACAGTCGTTGTCACAACGATTTGGGGAGGTATGATAACCCGGAACTTAGGTCCGGCTCTGTGACCCGAGGCCGACCGCCGCGACAGGCCATGCTGGCCGAGGGCACGAGAGAGGCGCTGAGGAGGTCATGCGAGGCAGACGCCTCGGGAGGGCACACCGTTCAACTCACCACATTTAGAAACTTATACATTTCCCCAACAGCTAGGAAACTCTAACTAGTTTCAGCGTATTTGAGCAGATGCATCGGGCAAATACGTGCTAAAGAATCATACAGAAACACGATAAATATCAATATGGTGAAAACAACAGAAATTCGCGACCAGCAGGATGTCACCATGACACCAGACGAACCAAGCGACCGTTTCTCGACGACCTCCTAGGTCCGGGCTCCTACGAGGCGTGGTCGGCTGGCCGTTCGGGCCGAGTGGTGACCAGTGCTGCCTCTGGCGGCCTCCGCGACGCCGGGCGCAGCTGCGACGGCCGGTGGTGTCGCACGGAGCTCGTGCCATCGGCGGCGGACAGCGGAGCTGCGCGCACCCACTGCTGCGGGCCTGTGTGCTCTCAGCGTGCCGGGCTGTCGACCGCAGCAGCAGCGGCGTAAGCGGCAGCAGCAGCCGGTTACGTCAGCAGTGGCAGCAGCAGGGGCAGCAGCAGTAGCAGCAGCAGGCCACAGAAGCGGGAAGTGAGCGTTGACAATCATCTTGTGCAAGCGCAGTGAGCGGATGAGACTGCCTGCTTTCAGCGGGCCCAGCCAGAAGACTCACTGCTCCTCGATCGTTCCGCCATCATAGTGTTCTGCGACGCGGTGGGAAGAAGGTGAGCGGCTTTGGCAAACTGAGAAGTCGGAGAAGGGTATTACTCCATCACTTGCTTATCCTGGGAGCATAATTGCAGCAAGCGGAGTTTACACCTTATTCACACTAAGCATAACTGGAAAAACGAATGTAATGCACTATTTTACTTTCTCCTTAAAGGTTATCTGATGACATGTTCATGACATGTTCACTTGACCTTTGCACCGCACGTCCGCGGCGGCTGTTGGCCTTGACCCCTCCCTCGTCGGCGTGTTCATTTTCTTTACCGCAACTTTTTATTAACTCTTCTGCACAACGCGCAAAATACGAAGGGTCCGATTGATTGCTTTAGTTCGCTCCAATGTTTGTGCGAGCCCGAAATCAAGCTACCGAGCTCATAAATTGTAGCGCTCAATATGACTTACAACGATGCAGCTTTCGGCTAACGAGCCCATGGCTGGGAAGCGTAACGTGGACTTCATTTGTCTTCTGCAGCCTCTACCGCCAAGTCTTCAATATAGTTTGGAACCCGAAGTCTTTCATTAGTCGGTGACTTGAACATTTTGTCATGAAACGGACTTCTTAACTCACTATTCAGTAGCGGTGTAGGTCCCCGTTCAGATGAAGGGGGGCGGGGGGGGGGGGCTTCAGCTCTCTTAGGCTTGAGAGAAGTGGACCAAATGCGCGGAGAAACGCGTTTGTTGACGAATTGTTGAAGTAGGTCTCATAATTTTCGAGGTTAAGCCCCCTAGTTCATTTTCAGAAACTACGCCCCTCTGTAATTTATTTTATTTTATAGTATATAAAATTTATTATTATTATTAAATTATTTACCCTTATTTATTTTACTTTATAGTATATTTATAGTATTTATTATTTATTTTACAGCAGTAAAGCATTATTTAATTTATATTACAGTATGTTACAGTATTGCTCAGATTCCAAATCAAACCGCAAAAACTGTTCTACACACTGTTATTTCGTCTGACTCATTCCGATATTGGTTTGAATCATGCAAAGACTACAAGAGCTTGCAGGTCCGTGAAGAGCTCGAGGCGAGTGGTTGACAGTACTCTTCCCGTGATAATTTTTAAAGCCTTTAAATGAAGCAAGGAAATGCGTCGGTGTGACATGCCTGCACACTTCTAGCATGCTTGGTGCTCTTTGCTTCAAGGTTCGGCTGTTCTGGCGCCGATATGAGCCGTTATGTCTCCAGGATGCAACAAAATGATAATAACGGCCTTAATGCTCACCAACGCAGGGAACAGGCGATCGGCGCAGACCCCCACGGCTTTTCGGATATTTCTTCGGAGCCGTTCAGAACATCATCAAATGAAAGTTGTGTAGCTCAGTTTCAAACTCCGCATGCCTGACTTGCAAGCCTCCAGCTCTTGCCATTTCGTGCCACGAATCTGTGGGCTCGTTATCGTGGCTTGCACGGCGAAGATGTTGCCGTTCTTCGACGCTCTGTGCACCGCGCTGTCCAAGGTGGCAAAATACCGGGCACTGGCGAGGGCTTAGAGGGCCTCCATTGAGAAGGTCAGTGATTACCCAAGCACGGACTGATAATTTAACAAACGTGCGCAAGGTGCCATCAATATTAGAGCGACAAATCTAAGGCTATGTTGTACCTTTCCGGCCAGGCAGGCCACGGCAGCGCAAACATGTTGACATTAAGTGGCGCGTATGTTGAATGCGGGCTTTAAAACGCCAGCTTTACCTTACAAGTCGGCGGTAGCATATTTCAAAACACAGCCACGATAAAGTCGAGACTGATACCAGTTCTCGCGCACCAGTGTCCCAGTGTCCCGAAGACATGTTCCGATTCACAATGCTCAAAAATGCATTATTATTGTGTCAATCTGTGGATGCACCACTTCGTCATTAGAGATATGTGTGACGCGGACTGGAACAAGTGGTATAAATCAAACATTACGATTCAAAGAGGAGACTTAAGTATCCCTTGTCTTCAGCTTTATGATCATAACCCGTGTGCCCTTGCATTATAAACACGCTCCAAAACCACTTCCACTATCGCACCGCTATGTAACGCAGCACTGCTCCAACCCAACAATGCTGCCACGGAACCGAGCGTGTTCACGCAGAGGCAAACCCAATTGATGTAGTATGAACTTTCTACACTGTAGTATCATATCTAGGCAATTATTAAAAGATGACCAAAAACTGATTAAACTTTCTTGATGATGGATGTTTATCTGATAAAATGACGTCATGGCATAATGACCCACCATATTTACTCGCAATAATGTTCCTTAAATGACGACGAAGATGTAATTGTGCTCAGGCCCGCCATGCTCAGGCCCTTATTTCTGCCAATAATTTTCGGAAATTGTCATTGCACACAAAACTTTGTGCGTCAACATTTCGTGGCTGAGTAGATGATTTTCGAGTCGAAAAAAACTGTCAAGGCTCTCTCTTCACTGCATTATTTCCACTTCATTAGCTGCCACCAGACAGAAAACGGATCAATAGGTCTTACACAGATGCATCCTAGCACCTGTCTAGGTTGTTATCGCTGTGTTCTGTTGTGCCCGATGAGTTTAAACTGTTGTTATGAGCACGCCTAATGGGACAGGCTCATGATACATAACTAATTTACATATACTCATTCATGATGCATATATGTATATGCATATATATATATATATATATATATATATATATATATATATATATATGCATATAAAGTATAAACGAACTGCACTTAACCATCACTCGTTGTCAACTATGTGTATGGATTCATCCAACTTATCATAATAAATCACATGTGTTCACAACCGGGTGGTGGCAGTGAACGTTTTGACATCAAAAACAGTCACATAAACACTCATGATTCTGTTTTGAATCAATGTAGCTGATTGCTTGGGCCGCTGACACCCTGTTTATTGTCCATGGTAGTGTTATGAGGTGCAGCCGGCCCCAGCGTTCCTCGCGACATCAGGTACGGAGACAGCGCTCTGCACGGGCCGCTGTGGCCGCACTGTGGGGCACTCCTATCTGGCTTGGAGGCGGCCAAATCGCGGCGGATTAGTTGTAAAGAGCTACCAGATAAATCGAATCGATTGACGACGAAGCCGACGCACTTAGGTCGGTGAGAGGCGTGCATACAGTGAGCGTTTGATGTGTGCCGCTGATGCAACAGGGGACTGGTGGCAGAGGTTCAAGGGCTGCACGCTGCACGTCATGTGACAGTGGGGGGGGGGGGGGGGGGGGGCATTTAGAAGCTGACAGCGACCATGCTGTCACAGTTAACTTAGCGACAGCTACACAAGAGCCTTTCAGGGAGTGACATGGTGCAAACCGTGCGCAAAAGAAAAGAAAAACAACAAACGAAATGGAAATCGTTTTCAGCGAGTCTCATGTTTGTAAAATGTTGGAAACCGTTGAAAAATAAGTTAGATAATCGTGCTTCAAAATGCAGGACGTGGGAGATTAGAAGAAAATAGTGGTGCAACAAATAGCTTGCCCAAATTAGGCAGGTATGTTTTCCTAAGGCAGGTATGTTTTTGTCATTCAAAACGCCTTCATATCATAACCATCTCTAAATAGCTGTAATGGTGTTATATTTTCAAATCGTAGCTTGGAAAATGGTGTCATGTTTCGAAAGTAATGAGGCCTTGGGGAAATCCTCAGTGAAAGTGGTGGTGTCAACTTCAAGCTGTTGCCTTCGTCGGCATACCAACAACAAGTCGCGCTGACAATCGGCGAGTAAGGTTCCAGTGACTTCGAGAACACAGGTCAAGCACCTTTGCCTACATGCAGGACAAACTGTGTCACGCTTCATGGCGTTGCAGGGCCAGGCTGCCATGCTTATTGGGGGGAAAATCTGAAATGAAATATCCATCGGTGCACATTTTTAAAGCGACCAGTTACCAGTTAAAATCGCGTCTAAATGGAAACCTAGCCGACAACTTACGGTGAATACCGATATTAACGCCTCATCGGAGATTTCTTTCTTAGCGGACAGCGACATTCGCCAGAGGTTTGCAACAGCAATGCGCATCAATGCATGCCATCAATGCAGCGGAGTCTTCATGGCTACGCATTTGGAGGCGCCAACGTTTACGAACGTCAACGCTTACGAAGGCTTGGCTGGTCAATGTCTGTTCTTAGCTATTCGTTTACACTTGGTGGCGCTAGCCTGCACGGGCTCCTCACATGGGTGATGACGCGTGTCGATTCCATCTTCATTTTGATTATTCATTTAATTATTTATCTACTTCTTAATTCTTTTCATATTTTCATGCGACGGTTGGCTCTTAAGATATGCTTAATTGAAAATTGCGATATCGGTCATGACAAACATTACAGCGCACACTGCACAACGTAATGTGAGGCGTTTATAGGAATACATTTCGTAACACCACACTAGCAGGCATTTTAGTCAAGACGCGCCCGGGTGGCCGGCTGAATACCCTTCGCTCGTGTAGGGGTCAAATTGACCCCTCTGAGATTTCAGAAACTAAGAGAGCTAGAGATACTAAATTAACAGAGTGTGTTGGCCTGTATGTGAATTCACTTGTGTCCAAATTTGAGGTTCCCAAGTCATGACCTTTGGGTCAAATCAGATCGAACAAGGTCGCGCTCCAGGTTGGTGCCTCAAGTGTTCCCAGGACAAAGATTCTTGCTCCAAGCAAAAAGACACTGGTACTCATTTGAGGACAGTAATCTTAGCTGACCTTTCGCAGGCCATGGTGATCAAAATCATGCAAGATTGCTTTTTGCCTTTGAATAAGCGTCAAGGACTACAATAGGCAATATGTTCCTAACAACAAAATGTTGACCTGGGTCATTTTAGGTCAGTCACCTACTCTGACATTAATTAGTTCCATGGAAAAAATGTGATGCGGCGTCTGTTATTAAAAAATTCGAAACCAACCCCAGAAACTGGCCCATAAAGCAGGATGGAGAGTAATAAAGCAGGTTGATTTCGTCCTTGGTCTGACTGTTATACCTGACTCTAGGTTAATGAAATTCGTTCATTCAGTTGCTGTGTTGCCT